CCATACAGGGGAACTAAAATGAAGGATCAAGAATATAACTATCCCAAGTCCACCTACAAAGATGATGGTCTCTTGTGGTGAAGAAAATGAAGTCACAGATTCTGCCATATCTACATACTATAGTACTTATAGAATGTGAACTTCCAGGGGTAGGAATTGTGAAGTTCTAAGAAGTGTGCTTGGACACATAAAAGCTTATGGGGAATAAAGAGAAATTAGTCTTAAACATGTTATAAGAGTTCTAATTTCCCTAGGACTAAGAATAGTATCTGACATCCCATACTTAGTATGTGACCAAAATAGAAAGCACACTGACAACACATGTATTTCTGTATGGGTTACTTATCTTCACATCAACTTAGCCATAGGTGGGCAGGGAAGTAACAAAAATTGCACACAAAGCCGAGGTCTGTCATCATTTTGAAATACTGCTACACAGAATGCAAAAGTCAACTAAGCTTCTTTTATATACAGTACAGTACAAGCTATTACTGTAGCTTCCAGAAACGTATTTGATTTTATTGGAAAGAAGAACCAAGTCAACTAATAAGGTTCTTAAGTACTCTGAAATCTTAATTTCTGCAACCTAACCTCTGATGGTATTGACAAAACTATTATGTTTGGGGTAGAGATGGTTTGACTAGCCACTTGTCAGCCTGGCAGGGAGGCTTGTCCTCCCTCCTTCTGCCAGGAGTGGTGTAAGAAAGTCCTTCTCCGGCGGGGGGGCACTTGTAGTGAAGGCGGGAAAAAGACACGGAGGCTCGTCACGGTCTTCATTAACAACTATTTTATTATAAACAGCTTCTAACTCGCGAGGATCAAACGGATCCTGTAATAAACGATCAGGCAACAAATGGTACTTCTTAGGGCGAACAATAGGTACCGCGCCCTGGTCTCCTAGAAGGGAGCTGGCCCAAACTTCTCCCGATCTGTCATCTGACGTAAAGGCGCGCTCCTCACCGCACATACCGTGCCGCAGCACGGGTGGCAGGCCCAATCGCCCTCCAAAGGCTTCTTCTGATATTCTGGCCCGGGACGAATCACACGCCGCCCGCCCCCAGGATAGTTCAGAGGGAAAACCGACACTTTCCATTCTAAAGGCTCAATACCTCTGCCTCTGATTCCCGCAGGGGATGGATCCGGTAATAGTCCCCCTCCAGTCATCAAGTTAGGAAATCCCGGTGTCGCTTCAGGCTTTTGGCTTGGGTCGAGAATGGGTTCAGTCTGCACCCCTCTATGTCTTGGCCAGTCCAGATTCAAGTCCGTCCAAGTTCTAAACTCCCGCGCGCCTCTCTCCTCTTTTATCTCCTCCCACATAATTAGATCCAGCTCCTCCCCTCCTTCCTCTACAAGACACACCTCTTCGGCCCTCTCAGCCACCACCTCTGTCTGGTCCAGCTCTATCAACACCCCTTCCACACATCCTCCTTCCTCTATGTCATCCTTTTTAGCGGAGGACGGTGCACTCCCTTGATCTCCTTCACAAGTGGCTAGTCAACTACGAGTTCTGGAGCTATTGGAAGGGAGTGCGGAGCAGGCTGCAGCAGCCGATGGGTGAGTGGATGGTCCGGGTCCAGGGGGCCGGACCCTCGTTATGTCCACCTATGTGGGGGTATTTGTATTCATATGAATACCCCCATCTCTAGTTTGGGGTTTTAAAAGACTGTTTTCCATTTCTGAAATTGCTGTAGCATCTACCTCTTTTCCTGTACTTTCCCCCAAAAGGGATCCAGGAAGATTTATTCACATAGTTTTCATCTGTGTTCTATTTTGGGATTGCTATTTCTATGGCTTTGTTTCATCTTTGCACTAAATCCTTACATTTTGTTTGCTCTTTCATCTTCTGTTCACTCCTACATCTTGACTTATAATAATACTGTCACCTTCCACTGTAGCGTCACTGTTTTCAAGCCAATCCAAAGTACTCATTTTGATATCTGAGGTGCTGAATGCTTTTGTACTTGAAGGGTTTCCTTTTCATATATGTACTTACCTTGATTGTAATATCAGAAACTTTTTTCAGGTCTTCCAATGACATTATGCAAGGTAGATGGCTACCTGCAGTTGTCTTTTTCGGTAGCAATGTTTTGGTTATGGAATGCCACCCCCAAAGGTTGGCCTGCTGCCTATTCTAATGGTCTTGGCACCAGGTAGCACTTTTTAAAATTGCTGAAGACCTTTTAAACCTATTTTATCCCCATTTCACTTAATTTTTATGCTGCAACAAAATGTATTATGCATTTGATTATTATACTATTGATTTTAAATTTGTTTTCAGTCTTGTAGTCCTTCTGAGAATGTCCTTTTACAGGGTAGCCTAAAAATATTGTAAATAAATAAGATGAAGTCCCATGAGTGTCTCAAATTGAAAATAAGTGAAGGCAGCTTTACGCTTTTGGTTGGGAAACCATGACATGAGCCTGATTTGCGGCATTTTAATTTGGACAGGCTACAGTTAAATACAAACTTGTTTAAATTACTTTAAACCACCCTGAGCTTATAAAAAGAATAACGGACAATTAAAATCAAAATTCAAACAATAGCTTGTCTTTGACATTCAACTAATAAGAGATATTTTAGTTTCATACCAATTATTTTAGTTAGATTCACTTGCCTTAATTTATTTTTGGGAACAGTAAGATTCTTGGCTGAAATCTCAACTATAATCAGTAGTCTTCTTTTTATAGGTTTACTAGCAGTGAAAAACTAATGTAGTTCTACCGTGCAACTTCTAGTGCTAGACACAAGTGTTTGGTTTTGGAAACCTGCATACAGGGCTTTTTATCAGTGTACAGAATCATCTTGTGTGGCTAGAGTGTAATGCTAACGGCATAACTTTTGTAGGCAAATTGTCTCAAGTTATGAAATCATCATGGATATTATTATCATGTGACCATTATGTTGCCATAGCTTCACAAATGAATTTTATCCAGTGCTTTATAGTCAATTTCTACTGTAGCCAAAATGAAAGTCGCTCCTTTCTTATATCAAATTCCTCCTAGTGCTGTGAAGCCAGTGATTCATAGGTCTCCTCAGTGTATACCCAACTACTCCTTCCAGAGTAAGATATACAAGACACTATGAGAATGGGCTGAAAACTGAAATCTTGCTATTATAACCAGCAGGCAACTTGTTTCCTCCATTTCCTTGGACATCACTGCATCTGGCTCTTCATCCAGAAGAAATGAAAGCTCAAGGCAGAGGTAATTTTCTAATCATTTTATTTAGATTTGCGTAATGATTTATTGCTCATCTGCAAGAATTAATATTGCATTCATTAAAAATCATTCATATACAAAATAAACTTATCCCCACCTGGGTTGATTCTATAACATGCTCCCTCTGACCACTCTGAGGTGTCGCCAGGCATGAGAATTTATTCCATGGCTTATACAGAGATGGAGCCCTTAGCTAAGTTATCTATTGACACTGCAACATGGAGGCAGACAAATGGAATGAAAAGATCCTCCTAAGCTTCATGGAGGACTTTGGGGAACACGCTGCTTGGCTTAGAAGGATCTAAACCAATTCTGAGATCAGAACTTTCCATAACAGAGCTGTGAGATTAAGAAACAAAAGTATGCAAACCTGATGAAAGATCTTAGAGGAAGCACATATACTGTACTGAGGCCTGGGATCACTATACCAAAAAAGAATGAAGAGTTCAGTTGGGCTAGCCAAACTTAAAATCAAATGCAGGAAAACAGGGTTGGCAGCAGGTGCTGGAGGCAAAGCACACTCCTGCAATCAAGTCAGCCAGTGGCCAGTACCATTGTGTCTGCCCTGTTTGCCTCCTGGCAGATGCCAATGATAAACTAGACACATATCTGTAATAGAAGGTACAAGAAAAGATCATCTAGGGATCTGAGAACTGGAGGGCAAGCATTACAATTGTGCAAAGGCTTGGTGGCTCAGGCTCCATATCACATATAATTTATTCTCAGTGAAGGACTATTGAAAAGAACAACAGCCTACGTAACAGAACATGAGCAATTTTCTGAAGATGGAGCTAGGAATGTCATGTCAAGTTTTCTGCAAATGTTACATAAAAAGGCAGGAAGTTCAAGACTGATCATATGCTCATTATGATTCACAGTAGTCTCTTACTTGTCACAGCTCTTTGAGACTTCAGCACATCTAAAGTGTTCACATCTAGGCAATTATCTGCCTAAACTACCTTCTTTAACCTAATATTTCCCTCCCTTGAAAATGCTGAAGCTTCCCCTCATGTTCATGGCACTGAAACATGAAATGTGGGTTGCACTGCATTCTCTCAAGAGAAAACAGTGCATTAACTGGACAGAATATGCTAGCCTACCAAGATAAGGTAATTAAAGCATCAGAGCACTTAAAACAGCAGTGCCAATGGGGTGGAATTCCACCTTCAATGTTCATTTGCTACAAATGGAGCCTGAAGATGGAAGGAAATGCTTTACATAATGAAAAATTATTTACAGCATCCAAGAAGCTAAGCTGATACAGTATTCAAACATCTTCTGTGCTGTGCAAATGAAGGAATGAAGTACAGGAGACACCATCTCAGCTCAAAAAGGCTGATTGGTTTTCAGTGGCCCCTAAGAATTCTGCAATGCATTTACTAAAATCTTCTGCCTTAAAGTATTTCAAACTAGAAGCAAAAGGAATTCTCACCCGTTGCTTTTTTAAAATATAATTTAGTATACTTCGATCTAAAGAAGCAAGAAAAAAATCCTAACATCTAATAACTATGAAAAAGTGGTTACCAATATTAATTTCAATTCATATCAGAACCCTAGGAACTTTAAAAAGAGAAGTTACCTGGTCTGCATAACCAAGCATGCAGCTATTCATTTCATGTAAAAAAAACAAACAGCCAGCCTAATTGATCATAAATAGTATTTGAAACTTCCCACTGAAATAAATCAATGGGACTTTCTCCCCACAAAACACGATTAGGAATAGGGTTAGGCATTTGTTGAATATATCTATATAACCTAACTGGCCACAAGGTGTCAACTCTGTTCCTCTGCAGGAAAAGAAGCACTGATCTAGCTGCTAATAAATTGGGGCTCATTAAGGCAATTTAGAGTTTCCAGATAATTCCGAACAGGGTCAGGAAACAGTACTTTAAATGTTCTGCAAATCTACCAGTTCAACTAAGGTGCCCTGAAAAGTTAAATTAAAAAAAAAAGAAAAGAAAATTCACCACAGGAAACAGATGCCTTACATCACCAAAGGAAACAATCTCTCTAGTAACAGAGCTAAGGAGCTGAAACAGCACTAATTTAGTGGTGATGCAGCTAGGAAATCCCAGGTTGCCTGCAATGACAGACCCAACACCTGGGAAACATTAAAGAATGTGAGGGGATAGTAAAATCACATGAATAAAAGAAACAAATGTTTTTAGAATACACACAAAATATTGTTTAAAAACATCCTTGCTAAAGCTCTTGTGTAGATTATGTGGTCTGGTTCTTCAGCATTATTGGTCCATCAGTACCTACAGCAAAAGAGAAAAATCATCAGGCTGTAGAAAACTCACCAAGACACATAATAATCAGTAGACACTCCTGCCTTGAGCATCAGGACACCTGTCTCTGTTGGCTAATTTTATTTTTCTCTTGTTCAGCATATAACTATGTCATCAGTTAGTGTTAAGCAATAACATTTTCATGCAAGGCAGTTCAACCAGAGAAGCTTTATATTTTGCTTGTACTTTTAAAACTTATTTGTACCCCAAACCTCCCTTTGACATGTTCTCAGCAGCCTTACAACCACTTTGCCCAATATCTTGTACTGAGAATTGTAAAAAGTTCCCTATACAGTGGTGCCTCGCATAACGATCGCTGCGTTTAGCGATGAAATCGCTTTGCGATGGACTTTCTGCCATCACATCACAAGAGCGATCGCTTTACAATGGCCCCTATGGGGAAAATTCGCTTTGCGATGATCGTGGGGGAGTGCTCCCCCACGATCATCGCAAAGGCCCCGCCAGTCAGCTGTTCCAAAAAACGGGCTTTGCGCTGCTCGCGGGGAACCACTTCCCTGGGAGCAGCCCAAAGGCTCGCTTTTTGGAACAGCTGACCGGCGGGCGTTTGGGCTGCTCGCGGCGAAGCGCTTCTCTGGGAGCAGCCCACAGGCCCGCCCGTCAGCTGTTCCAAAAGGCAGGCGTTTCGGCTGCTCCCGGAGAAGCACTTCTCCGGGAGAAGCCCAAACGCCCGCCCATCAGCTGTTCCTTTTTTGGCCAGCTGACTGGCCGGCGCTCAGGCACGAGGGCGGGGGAAGGCTCCCCCGCCCTCCTCCCGAGCGCACGCCAGCTTTTCTCCA